CCATTTTCGATGAAAGTGATTGGAAAAAAGAACTGGATCATCCCAAGGGTACTTAGTTCCAGTAGCTGCTGAGAAATCATCACTAAAATCGTTAAAGCTGAAGGTCAAAAAAAGTTGTGGAGAGCCAAGATTTTGAAAGACAGTTGACAGATTTAGATAATTCTTTCTCTTGTAAGAAAACGATGAACGGACAATATAGGGCACGTTATAAGTAATACTTTTGTTGTAGGTATTAGTGGAGGGGTCAATTACGTCGCACTGCCTGAGATTGCTTCTTCCTTTAGTACTCACAACCAGTCGATTGGATGACGCAATATTATTTCTTTCGATACAATCCAAAAGAAAAAAAATGAAAGCTTGATCTTGGGCAAAACGAAGGTCAGCCATAAGTAATCTTAATCGTGTATATCCTTTCAATGTTTCGTTGAAGAGTGTAGCCTTTGCAATTCCACCATGGTTTTCTGCTTGAGACGTGTTTTCTTCGTTTGGAGTGCACATAGAGAAGTGGCCTTGGCATTTAGGATACAAGTAAGGAAACATCAGAGCAAGTAAACTTTCTGTAGATAGTCGAATGTAGGATCCAGTGGATCCATTCTTTCCAATAATTAAGTCAGAAAATTCAACACCAGCAGCCTCAGGATTGACATTGTTTTCAGCAAATAAACAATTGTCAGGCCATTGAAATTGCCCGTCAATTTTTTTGACAACGATAAACTTTGAGCTTTCTTTAATGTGGTAATTTACAAGAGAAAACATCAATGGCGGAAGTTCATATCTTTGTAAAAGAGGATGGACATTTTTCAAAGCTTCATAAGCAGTAATAACCTTCTTCTTGTTAATGATTCGAGGATCACCACGCTTATAGTAAAGTCCAAGGGTGCTACCATATGCCATTTCAGCAAACTCAAAATTGTGTTTAATCCCAACGGCACCAGAGAGTTCATAATGGCCAATATAACCTGATTGAATGTTGAATTTGCGTGTAATTTGAGTCATTAACTTTATAGGAGAGAGTGCACATCTTTCACGGTAATTAAGACCTTTAGTTTCCTCCAAGATATCTCCTATTAATTATGCACCTAATTAGGTTTGAAGTACATTGTATTCCTAAATAACTCTAAACGTACCAGGGTAAATATAAATTGAAAATTCAGTTTCCACCATCATTAAATGGTCTTTACAAACCATGTATGTAGAAGTCCCTCTGTATTCAATATTTGTCAAAGGAGTGACACCCTACTGGGAACAATTACAGGAATCAATGTTTTCTATTTTACGGTAGAAACTTTCTTCAGGATAAAGTTTTCTTAAGCAGACGCAACAGACACCATCAGGTTTTTTGGCAGAAAAGGCTTGAAAATCAAGAATTTGTTTTCGTTCCACATGAGAAAAAGACATTAAAGAATTGTCTTGAACACGGAATCTGGACATGAAGTCTCTCATATTGGCACTTGTAGACATTGTAGCGCTTATTGTAATTATGTATAATCAGAAAAGTTCATTATAATTGATTCACGGTTATTTATACTTTTCATGGTTTTTTTTCAGGCACAATAAAGTTGTTTGATCAGCATTATTTAGAAGTAGAAAATGTGTCATGTTGATATGTTTATTAAAAAAAAAATACCAAAAAAAAATTAAATTTCCATGTTGTTGGAAGTGGCAATGAGGGCAGCGTCAAAGGGAATAGACTCATCAGCAAGATCGGACAAGATGAGGAACTCGGACAGGACATTGGAGGTCTTAACTCCAGGATTCGGAACTTTTCTCACCACTTTCTTTTCTGCTCTGGCTACGCCTGAGTTGTTTTTCAATCGCTTGACGATTGTTTCTTGAACCGCGATGGGATTGAACATTGGCAGCAAGAGTTTCATTACAACTTTAATTTTTGTTAGTAAAATTCTGTGATACTGAAAACTATTTATGGGTTGGAAATTTGCTTACCCAAGTCCTCGAAATGATCCTCAAGGGTCTCACAAAAAGATTCCTTGGAAATCTCCTTGTTTTTTTCCTCTACCAAGTGGATGTTGTTCCAGTTGTCCCAGACATACTTAAACATAATAAATTTACACTTCATGTACTCGGCGGATGAAGGGTAAATATCTTCTGAGGCCGGCATACAACCCGCAGAAAAAGCAACACCAATTACATGACCATTATGGTCAACTTCCCTAATTGGAGAGACAGAAGTTACTCCAATTCTTACCGAAGCAAAAGCCTTGTTGGAATCGTCAAACGTGTAGGCGGAGACGTTTAAACTCCCTAATAATATTAAAATCGACAATATCAGTAAAGCGAGTTTCAAAGCGAATTAAATCATATATTACCAATTACTCTATGGGAAGTTCCTTTTCTAAAAAACCTCAAAAAGTAGAACATCATGGGATAATTCCGGCCAGATACCACGAACACAAGTCTCAAACTGGCATCAACACCTTTGGACTCGAGCGAAATCGATTGTCCACTCAAAACTTTCATTTTTGGGACGCTTTCGGTCACGACAACTCTATCACATGTAGCTGTCCCCATTTTTCTTGAATTAATTAATCTTTTAGAGTGCATCTGGACTTCAATGTGCCAAAAAAAAAAAAATTAAGCAGAGAGACACGTTAAAATTGGACCACCACACTTTCCTCATAATTAAGGTCCAATATTTTTGGACATATATCATTTTAATCATGATTAAAATGAGAATATGAACTTTTTATTTTAAAAAAAAAAGTGGGTCCGATATTTTTACAACTCGATTTTAGGTGTGGGGGAAAATATTTGTCACAAGCAGGTTCTAAATTTTAAATTTTTCTTTTCTGACCTATAGTATTGTCCCGCTTATATTATTTCCCGCTTTCGGACCATGAAAAGTTTACTGCCTGTAATCTCAATTTGAGTACCCGCATGCGTAGTATTGCAGCCTATTAAATCAAAGTCTTAGGACATTTATCGTCAACCCTGTGAGACAAAAAAATGATAAACCAAACTTTATGTACTAAGTAGAAACGCTTCATATTTAGAAGATATAATTTAGAGTATTTTGGAAATAGATCCAACTAGTTGTATAAATAATTTATGTATTTGAAGGATCGTATTTGTTGGATAAAGTACTCAGTGCCACAACCCGTTAAATCATAGTCTGAGATCAAATATGATCAACCCTGTAAGGCACAAAAAGGATAAAACAAACTTTATGTACTAAGTAGAAACGCTTCATATTTAAAAGATATAATTTGGAGTATTTTGAAAATAGATCCAACTAGTTGTTTATTTAATTTATGTATTTGAAAGGTCATATTCATTACATAAAGTAGTCAGTGCCATAGCCTGTTAAATCTAAACTGAGATCAAATATGGTGAAGTGTAAAACACAAAAAAGATGTATGAAATCGTAGATATACATTAAGTAAGAACGTCTACAACATGAAAACTTTGTTTACTTCAGTAATATTAGATGGAACGTTCTTTAAAATTACAAACGCATCAAAAAGGTTACTGTTTTTGAGCGTATTACTTCACGGGAGCTTTAAAAAGGACAAATAGAAATGTGAATTTAGAAATTTGGTTTATTTTTGTACCTTTCTAAAAATTTTCTTCATAAAAAAAAAAAATACCTCCCCACATAACAAAATCTGGCTATGAATAAATTTCCTTTTATATTACTTGTACTAGTCGGAGATGAATGCTAAAAAATGTCACAGATTACGTTTTGGCACATTACAGTGAAGATGCACTCTAAGATGAATAGCAGCAAATTCGCAAAGAAATGGTTTTTTATAGAAAAATTGTCATGATTTGTAAAACGTTACTTGTCTCAATGTGTTAGGTAGCAATCTAGTTCATACAAAAAAAGTAGCACGATGTGAAAAGTTGATAGTAATCGAAGGTATAGAATTTCTTTCTGGCACCACAATGTAAATTGAGGATTAAGATTTAGCACTGACTTTTTCAGACTTATGTGTGTTTTGCATATTAAGAATTGAGTGTTTCGTCGTCATGAATTATGTGTGTATTTTGGCTTAAGAGCCTATTTTTCTATTATCGCTAAATTGCCGTACAATTATTAAAAAGGGGCATCCGATTTAACAGTGTATTATAACATTGAAGTTGTATTCAAGTTTTTGAAGTTGTATTCAATTATCTGAAGTTGTATTCACTTTGTTTGCAGTCAATCTTCAGTCCCTTTCGTTATTCTTTTTTTTTTTTTTTTTTTTTTATCTTACTTTTTTCTTTTGGGTAGCTTATTTTCCTTCTTTACAAACCTTTACCTTATTGGATACTAAGGTAACATTATTCATAACTATTTGTACAAATTGATAGCAACGTTTATCAGCTAATATGCAGAGTTACGTTACAATAATAATGTATACCAGTAAAAAATTCAAGAATTTAGTTAGTGTCACTATATTGCGCAATGCTAATTTTTTTGTGATAAGCAATAAGAAAAACAATCATTTTTCAAATAGTAAGTTGTTCTAGAAATCAAGAATATTTAGTGCCCTCCTTTTTGTTTCGCTTCTGTAATGATTTGCATATAAAATATGGATGGCGTTATAATAGCTTTTGTGTAACTTTGATCCATGTGCTTGACTACTTTGTGTAATTTCAATTTTTAGCTTTAGACCAGAATTGGAAAGATATATTTTTTAATGTAGGCACATATAGCTCATGGGAAGAAAAAGTATATCTTGTTTTTCACATGCCAGGAGTCTGTGCGTCAGAGAAGAGTGAGCTCTGTTACAATAAAATTAGTATACACGAGTTGGTAATCATGATAACGATTTTTTTATTGCATAATTCTAGGTAGTAAACTAATTGTAATACATTTGTCACATTAGGTATATTACAGATGTGGTATGAGTTGCTGTATATTTTTAAAAAAATTATGCAAGATATTGGACTTTACAGTTATATCGAATATTTCAATTACTAGGACATTAATAATTCAAATAATTTGAAACAGCTATTTGTTCGTAGTAATTTATATGCATATTTATTGAAAAAAAAGGCTATGTTTTAAAAACGTACTGCTCCATAGAGCCATAACTCTTTTTGGATTTATCATTCTTATTACCTCCTGCCTTTTCTTTTCCTTTCGAAGTTTCTTTTGTTCTACTGTTCCTTGCAGGATGTTTACCTTTGTTCCTAATTTTATTTCTAGGCATTTCGGAAGAGTATTCATTATCTGACGTAGAATTATCAGGATTGTTTGGCTGGTCGTCATGATATGGCACAATTTCTTTGTTCGAATTTATATCCGTATCACCTGATTCTATAGATCTTGTATGATAGGATTCATATGATCCTGTATTACGGTTGATGGAAATGTTTCTCTTTCTTTTGCCATACTGAATCAATTATAATTGTTAGTCTGTATTGATTGCTTTAATGTATGTTTGCTATCTCACGTTAGATTTTTTTATGACTGATGGCCTAGGATTAAATTGCCTTTGGTAAATCTCAGAGGTTTCTGAAAGAACATCCTCTTCTACTTCTAACAATCAAAAGATAAATATTGTGAAGTGATACGCTACACATCTTATCAAGTTTGTCATACCTTGTGAATTACTGATTTCTTCTTGTCGCACACTAGACATTGATCTATTGTCAATAACATCTGCCTTTTTGAAAAATTTTGAAGACGACATAGTACTTCTTGAATTTGCAATGTACATATCAAGATTCTGTTAAGCGGTGTTGCTGCTACCAAAGCAGAAAGGCCTTGTGGTAGATGAGCCTTTGCTTTTACCAGAGGAAGAACTGTATTGGCTGCTATTTTGAAGGTGAGATTTTTTTAATGCAGCAATAATACTCAGAGTATTACTACTGGATAAAGTAGATTTAGACGTTTGGCTTGAATTAGAACTATCATCGTCTAAAATGATTCTTCCAAATTTTTGGAACCTCCTATTGGGGATGTTGGGTGGTTGTTCCTGAAAGAAGGTATCCGACCTCCCAGGGATTTCACTTTCGTTTAAACGTGAGGTTTCGGATAAATCATCATCCACTAATGATACATTACCAAAGTGATGTCTTTCTTCTTCGAAATCTTCAATAATAATCTCATTTACCGAGTAGCTATTTGTAGTTCCGCTTCCTTGGGTATCAGCCATCATATCCACACTTTCATTGTTTTCCTGAGTGTTAGCATCCGATTGGCTTTCGATTTCATCGTTATAAGAGTGGAGGAAATTTCGATTATGTTGCATATTAACATCTACAGGAATTTCTTCTTCACTTTCATTTGCTAGATATAGTAAGAGGTAATACAAGATGGCATCAAAACTCGCAATTTAGAGTTACACATGATGATCTTTGGTAGCGTACCTTCAGTTGGATGAAAATCGGGAGGACCAAAGGTTTGATTAACGGAAAGGTTGACCATATAGTAACCATTTTTAACACCTTCTTCAAATTGGTTTGGAGATATGTCCGGATGTACCATTCTTTTCATGTGTTCAGGAATTAATGGAATACATGGCAAAAGAAATGCAGAGAGACATTTCAGATGAAATTTTTCTTCGAAAATAGTACCCAAAAATGAATTGCCAAGTGCTTGTTGTTCCATTTCACCATTTACGACCGTCATCAAGGGCTCCTTTTTTCCCAAAAAGGCATGGAGATCAATTTGAAAGTAGTCTCGAACCCATTTTTCTAAAAAAACTATCGTCGTAATAACTTTGACACTGAATTTACTTTTTTTTTAAATCAGACGTTAATAAAAGTTTAGACTTTAAGGATTAATAATACATACGCGGAAGAAGCCCCATACAGGTGTATAAATGCCTCATTGTTATCTTCGTCACATACTACGGTATGTGGAAAGCAAACGCCGAAAAATGTGGAAACGATGGATTGAACCATATGCAATATATTAAAGTGAAATATTATCAAATTAGCAAAAGCAGTAAAAGAAAGCCGAATTTTCGTGGATACTTTTATAAGTAATTTTAATCGACTCGTATGCACCAATAGGTTTTAGCCCACGTTGAGAGCCTTACTGACAGGTGCCACAGTTGATACATTTATGGTTTTCCAGATGATCGAGTTCAAACATGTAAAAAACACAATAAAATGTAAAATATAATAACAGCAAAATAATCGAATCAATATTATACTGCCTGTTTTTCTGAATAATTACATTAATAATTATTTAGAATGACTTCACTTTAAAGCTGGTCTTTGTTGGAGAAAATGTTTGTTTAGGAGAATTTTTAATGTAGTACCGAGTCAATGAACCTTATATTTTTTTCATCTCAGCAAAAGCGTCTAATTATTTGGATTTAAAAAAAATGTGTTACGACTATAAAAGTTTGATGACAGATATGCTTAAAAACTTCGTCAATAATACAAAATAAAAATGCTAAAATAATAGTCTTCATCTATATATCAGTAAAGTTTTTTTATCGGCAAGGCAAATTCTGATTACTCAAAATGATAGCCTTAAGTGCCGATTACAATTGTAAAATAATCATAAGTTAAATCACGTTTATTGCAAATGTGCTTTTTCTGCTTTTCTTTTCTACATATATATTTATATATATATCAGGTTACTCTTCAGTCAACATTATATTATAATCAATGTAAAAGCTTCAATATTCTATAGCTACAGCATGTGCAGTGAGTATTCAGTGCGAATTGACAGAAATAACTATGAAATCGATTTATCATTAGCATTTTTGGCATGAAATAATAACACTACTCGTAACAGTACACAAGTATATGAATAATGGCTTTACATGTGTGTGTGTGTATCGGTTTTGTAACTTGTAATTTAATTATTTTTGAAAAAAGAATGTTTCAGCCTTTAAACCTTCTATTCCGACGGTGAGGAATACAAAAAGCTGATTAAGACGTATAGTTGCGACAAATAGCAATTCTGATGCGCAATAATTAATTTAGAAAAATCTTATCTTCATTCTAAACAGAACTTAACACAACTACTGTTATCAATATAGAATGAATATGAGCTGCTTTAAATTCTAATTTAAATGCAGCTTTGAAACCCGTCAAAACGACATAAATTTACCAGATATACAAGTTGTTATATATCTAATATACAGTACAATGTAAGCTTTTGTAACTTATTCAATGACTTCAATCATATAATGCATAAGGAAAACCTGAATTAACTATCCCACACAACGTGCAACATGTTTTTTATTAGCTGTAGTGATTTACACTGTGTGGTTGTGGTTAAAGGTGACAGATGAAAATAACTATATTCTCCATACAGACGGCTATGGAACAAAGTATTTTTTTTAGGCCAGCCAACCTTTTTCCAAATTTTAATAAGAATTATAAAGCAGTTGATAACTTCATCTTAATGTATTTTTTACTAGGAACACAATGATTCAGAGATTATATTAATTTGAGCGTTAAACACTGTATCAACCTTACCACTTATTTACTGCCTCAAAAAGTATCATAATTTCAAGATTGAAAGATTTGGATTCTTTTATGTACATAGTTAAATTGCGTTTGCTTTGAGTAATAAGAAAAATTTAAAGTGCAAGTTAATGACAGACTATTATTATTTGCACTTGTGACAAGTAGTTCTAAAAACATTTATCCACTGATTTGACTTTGGTTACCTTTTTTTTTTAAAACGTTGATTAATAACATTAAATCACGACTATAATCAAGTTTATCATTTTTTTTATCGAGACTTGATACTCACTTAACAGTAAGTAGAGATATTACGTATAGGAATTAAAAGTAGCTTTTACATTTACGCTGCAATCATAGAGTATAAAGATGCTTATTTTATCGTAACAAAATATGAAAATTGACGCTCTTAAGTGGTTGCTATGATTTGTTTATAGACTGTTCATTATAAATGACTGAGTAGAGAAACATAAGCAAAAAAATAAATAAAAAGATCTATTAGGTTTCTTAAATTTCTTTCTAGAAATCATTTTCGAAAATCACCGATCTTACCTGGTTGGAATGAGCCTTTTGGGAGAACTTCAAAATATTCCTTCCAAAAGATCTCAAAAAACCGAAGGGCCCCGTCAAACCCCAGACCGTACATAACCATAACGCTCTTCGCCGGCGCATACTTTTCCATGGTTATTCTCTTTGATGTATCGTGGAGATGTAGGTCTCTAAGATTCAGACGACCTACATCCAGAAAAGTCTCGCCCCATACCCAAGAACGTCCAGCCTCTTGAAGCTCCGGGCTTTTGATTTGGCCATATGCCCTCGTCGTCAGATTACCAGGTCGACCAGTTGGAATAACCATCTCTAGACCAAATGAGGTGGCTTCGGGTTCTACGACATCAGCAATGACATTGATGTCGTAGAACTGTTTTTGAAGCCGAGTTCGCTCAAAAACGTCATCGAACTCGACTTCGCCTTCCAGCAAGACAAAGGCATCCTTCAAAAACAGAAGGCAGCTGTTTTGGCTTCTTCTTGCCTTCACAAAGTTCTTCGCATCCGTCCTGGACGAGTTTCCAGGATGCATTAATGAGTTCAACAACAAGGAGACCATCGCCACACAGGACAGAGACCGCAAGTTCTGTTTTCCTTCGAACTTAAAAGCCAGCTCGTTCAAAAAAGCCAACCTACAACTGATGTAGTTGAGGTACTCTTGGTGGCAGATATGAGCACCCCAGAGCCACCAAGAGTATCCCTAATTTTTGATAAGATTAGTTTAGGCGAACATCAAAATTAAGAGTTTAATTTACTTACTTGCTTTTTTCCACAAAATTGGTCACGAACGAGCTGGCTATGGCAGAAGCCAAAAAACGACCTTCTACCCGCAAGGTGAACTGTTCCATTTCTGATTCACGCAAGCGGGTCTGATACCATTCCTAATAATAATAAAAAAAAAACTTATGAGTATATATTGTGGTGACTAGTTTCTTATAATACATACCATGTTTTTCAGGTACTTTCCATTTTCTTGGCGAAGCCCTGCCCGGACTTGGTTAGCTTCCCATCTATCCGGGACAGAGCCATTGAATCCGGAAGGATCAAACAGGAATGGTATCTTGATGTCGTTGTAAACAATCAACTTGCAGCATTGATCGCTTGTACGGAATTTGTTGGTGGCTGTAAGACCACCAAAGCCAGCCAGAGCCATCGGCATTAATTCACTTTTGGTGTTTTGTCCACCAAAAGTGTAGCCGATGCTGTTAATGGCTCCTGATCTTGCAAACGATATCATGGGTTCCCCAGACAGAGCCGTGGTAGCGAAATTGATACCAAGATCAACCTTAGTGTTCTTTAGGCTGACCTTGGACCAATCGATAATCGTCGACAAGATTTCTTGACAGGAGCAACCCTCAAATTCTTGCTTGAACCCGAAGGAAGGAGTGATAAAGTAAAAGTCCCTGTACTGGGACAAGGACAAATTTTTCTCCACGAGATCACGAAGTGATTGAATAATCAAGGGAATATCCTTTCCAGAAACAAGATTTTTCGCATCTTGACGCTTTCCGCGCAACACCGACTCCTTGTAAGACTTGTTTAAACGGTTAAACACAGATAGCTTTAGAGCCTTTCTCAAAGCCGGGATCAACAACTCATCCACGAACTTTCTCTGTTCGTCCTCAGACAAGAAAGCCGACATTTTCTTGGGTTCGGCGACTTCCTTGTCCTTGGCTATCATCTCTGGAAACAAGATGTGGCTTACCACGCGGGCCTCCGAATTCACGACACCAAACAAAGTGTGTGGGATACACTTGACAGATCGTCGGGTTCCTTCACGCTCAAGATTTCCGAGATCTGTTCTAGTGATCCCGTACTGCTTGGCGGAAGGACAGAGGTCGGAAGCAAATCGACATGTCTTGACCAGAGGCACCTCCTTGGTACAATTGGTGATGAGACCGTCGATGTTGCTGTCGCAATGCTTGAACTCGACTTCTTCGTTGTTGTTCATATCAACGTCGAAGGCAACAGGCATACCAGCAGAACAAACAAACTGGGCATTAAGGTGCAAGTCGAGCTTCTCTTCGAAGGTTGTTGCGTTCAAACATTTCTCTTCGTAGTCCGAAAGTTAATGCATCGATACATTTCGTTCGAATGCGATATTTTTTTCTCACCGGAAACTAGCAATGGTTGAATATTGACATCAGAAATTTATTAAACGCAGAAAACCGAAATCAGTCAAAGGCGGAGAATTTCATAAGTTTGTTTTTGTGCATATATTAACACTATAACAAAACTGTTAAAAAATGCGAAATATTAAGTGTTTTTTTGAGCTAATTTTGGAATTTCATTACGAGTCCTCAATCGTTGAAGTTTTAAAAAAATTATATTTTAGAATAAAATTGGCCAATCTTAGTTTTTAAGAAATTTCGTTTGACGTGCAACTTTTTGCACTATCATTTAAAAAAAACAAAATATTGAATCTCTGATAATATTTTGAAAACATCGGCGACTGAGGACCCCTAATTTTTAACAATTATATGGAACTGGACGTAAATGACTATTTTATTGGTGTTTTTTAAAATATTAAGTTTTTAAATAATATCTACAGTAATGGGTATTTCGGACATTAACTACACTTTTCATCGGATTTTTGGTATGAATTAAAAAATATGAGCGAACATGTATCTGGTAACACTTTTGACAATATCGTAATTCAACTATATATCAGAGGATTTACAATATACTAGTAGTGTTTAATTAGGATAAGGCAATTTTTTTTTTAGTGTTAGTACAGTTTAAATTGACGCTGGTATTGTATCATAAACCTCAAATTCAATAAAGTGCCCAAAACAACTACGAAAGAGTTTCATAAAGTATAAGCCTAACCCGAAAATGGAACGCAAGTTGACGTATTAAAAGCCAGTTGCTGTAGAACGAGACGTCATAACAGTTTTAAGAGTTAACGGTAAAGATGGATCATACTTTAATGTAAAATTTCAATATCTTGTCGTTGTTCTGTTTCGTTATTACAAAAAATATGCAAATCCGACGATTGGTTTTTTTGAGTTACAACCCTCTTTTTGAATAAACAATCTTCCCCGTCGTCCTAAACAGTATTCTGCTTCAGATCCTAACATGTATCTGATGAAAAAAACACGGAACCAAAAATGTTAAATTTGACATTTTTACGTAAAGGTATAATGGGGGTGGATTTTTGTGTTTTATGCATGACCAAAATAATTCAGATACACTTTTCAAGAATTATTAAACGGCACGAGGGTTTTTCAAACAAAACCTCCGTTTCGGTAAAACGTTAGACCTTCACTATGTTTCATACGCTGTGCTTTGAAAAAGCCTCGTTTGTATGATAGATATAAGATTTGATTGGCAAGATCTAGTAAAGGTTTGTAACAGAAAAATAAGTAAAAAGGCGGATAGTTTGTTTAGCATATTCATTTTATGGATCTAAGTAGTTGTTGTTTGTCTCAAGGTTCGCTAAAGATACCCTTCAACTATCATACAATAACTAAACGAAATTAAAGTCGAAAAGAAAAAGACGGTAAGATTTTGCAACAGAATGTTATATGTTTGCTTAATAGAAAATTAATTTCGTTTAGTGTCAGTTTTAAACTCCAGTAGAAAATGTAGCTGTATGAAATCCGCATTGTAACTATAGTTTAGGTTGTTATTTAAAAGTAGTTAAATAGAATATTTGAAACGCCCAGAAAGGTTTCATATTATTTTCTTTAAAGATCCCCATGTTAGTTTATACAGATATTGTTAACTATATATCTTAGCTTGCGTTATAATAAAATTACTGAAGAGCGCAGACGACAAACTAGAGACGGACGAGGCTAATCTGAAACTTACATTATGCATAGAAAATGTTTCGGAATTCACAGGTCATTGTAAAAAGAGTATTATTTGAATATAAGCCTAACTATTATTTTTATGGGAGATTTTCGTGGGTGTATACACTAGTGTATTTTGATAAAGGCAATGCTAACATTACATTTCAAAAAGAACCAAAACAACAATAGTAACGTAAATTTTGAGAACTATTTTTACTTGTAAAAAAAAAGTAAAACGTTATAAGTACTGGATGATCTTGCAGTATTTTCAGCTGCGTTTTGATTGCGTCGAATTCAAGCAGCAGGACGAGATACCTGGCGTACTTCATACTGACGTAGGCGCTCTGGAGAGAGTTCATTTTCACCTCTTGTAAACCATTCGGGTACCTTAAGTTCGCCAGATGGACCTGCAATACCAGAAAGGTATACTACCTCCTTTAACGCAAAATTCAATCCTTCCAAAACGCTGGGATTTTCTTTTTTCCACAGATACTCCAAAAGTTTCTCCGCACAATACTGCTCATTTCGGTAGCAAGGAGCAATCGACCGTTTCAAATCCACCCACATGCCTTCGATAACGTTGGTATGGATATACCCAGGCGCATGGTTACCCCTAACCTGATCCTTGGTACCAAAACTTTTTGAGTGATTAACAACTTGGTGTTGTCTGAAGTAATAATCACCATCTTCGTACCGGCCTTCGTTATTCTCGTAGGTTCCATCCTCCAAAAGAACATCAGGGGGATGCATAAAATCATATCCCTTCCAACCATCGGAACGGATGACGGTATTTGGTTCGCAGTGACGTTCGATGATAGGTTTCAAGGTGGCCGTAGTACGGTTGGGCACGGTGCACACAAAAAATCGGCCAGCGCGAAACAAAGGCTTCTTGTAAAACCGGCCATTGGTCTTGGACACCTCCTCACCGATTTTAATGGCTTCTACCATACCGAAAACCCAGACACCCTCAACGCGATGTCCTCGGTGGTGCTTACGTTTACCAAACTTTGATTCGTCGATCTGAATATGATCGCAATCAGGTGAAGAGCCTAAACGAAAGGGCAAGTTTCTGTTGACGTAATCACAGAGCATAAGAGTATTGACGTCCTTGGTTAATTTTCCAACGGCAGGGAGAGATATCGCGTATCTACCATGAACTTTTGTAATTGAAGAGTTTTCCACGTATTGATTGAGACTGCGGTAAGACAAATCGATTCTAAGTTTTCTGCGATAAAAAAAGGTGTTCTTGGCAGCTGATTGATAACGTTTCTTGTGCGTATCGCTACTACCGTTGCAATGATAATAATATCTTCCACAATTCTCCCTCCACTTACGATACATGTCCTTTTGGCAACCAGCAACATTACAATTGAGATCAACCAATCGAAAAACACCAACATATCTAAAAAACTACGAAGTTAGAATAATGCCCTTTTGTAACAGATTTTATTGACCTACCTTTCTGTATCCTCAGGTCTTCCTGATAAATGGTCTAATTCAGTTGCAATTACGTTAACGGGTACTCTGGAACGGTATGGGGCGATAACTTGACCGATCTGACGACCTCTGGGACGAGCAGGAGTAATTACGTTATCTTCGACATGATCTCGAACAAGAATTGCTGAACTCATTTTGAAATTACTAACAACGGAAGTAAGGTGCAATAGGTTATTGAAATGGGGTGGGAATATATCAAAATTATTACGAATGGAGAACGATTTAAAAAAAAAAGGAGAATAAAAATTAGTTAGGACACGCAGTGCTAATGTTAATTCAAATAAAAGAGGAACTTACATGAAGAAAGGAAGATAGAGCAAATAAATATAATGGAAAACTTTTTTTATTTCAAAAAGCCACCAACAACTGTGTAATAGTGCGACCCGGATAGATGAGGATTATATGTCAGAAGATAAATATGATTGGATAAGAATATTTATCTTATATAATCACAATGAAATATAAAGTAGAAATAGAATAATGTTTTATTGATAGAATTTATGATAGTTTATATAGTTAAGATAATTTAAGTTAATGGCTAAGTAATATAAGAATGATAGGTTTAGAATTGTTGAGGAGGCACCTTTTTGCATCTTGTCTTTCGGTCCTTAAACCTTAAGTATTACAAACTGCAAAGTCACTTGTGACAGCCTAAAAAATAGGTTCCAAATGTAAACAAAAAACTCTTAACCTGGACTCGAACTGTGGACATTCACATTCTTTAACATTCGATTTACACATTCACATATAGTTCAACAATTTGTTTGTAATGAAAATAAATTAAGTACAAGTTCCCGATTTAGTATGTTTTCTATGTTACCACAGTGTTTTCGAAATTTTGACGGTTGAAATTGAACTTTTAGGCTAATTGAAACCAGTAAATGCTACGACTATTATTTCAGTTTATACAAAAGAGCGTTTCTAATCATTTTCTTCAACGCGTAGTCTATACGGAAACCCATAAAATGATAATTTACTTCCGGCTAGACCATATTACTTCAATGCCTAAAAAATGTGAAATTAATTTTCGACAAATTTAAGGCACTGTATATATGACATTTCTACGATTAGCGCAACTCCAAATTAGACCAGTTACCAAAATACGCTTGTTGTAAATCTTGGATATTTGATTAGTAAACAAATTTGGACGGTGGCAATTTGGAATTAACTTCATCAGCTGCGCCTAAATAAGGGCATTGGGGCACAGGTGCGGATGACTTGGTAAAGGTTGATCGCGGCTCTGCAATCGATATAAGACCAAATTTAAAACTTTGAACAGCGATTAGTTGTTCAGTTTAAATGGTAGAAATTTAAACGTAGGTGCATCAGATGCGCACAAAAAAAGGCATTAGTGTACATATGCGGATGACTTTGTGACGGCTAATCCCCACTCTATAAAAGCCTTAAAAAAAATTTTAAAATTTCAAATGCAGATTAGTCCGTCAATTTTGATCCCAGCTTTCCGAAATTACGATTTTCGGAAGCGCCCAAATTTTTGCAAATTTTCGAGTACCCGGATGCCTGTGTAACTAATATTAATCACTGGGAAATCGATATTCGTCCTATTTTTTTTGTTGGCCGTGACGGCCGGCGCGAAAGAAAGGCTTCTTGTAAAATCGGCCATTAGTCTGGGACACCTCCTCCCCGACTTTAATGGCTTCCACCATGCCGAAAACCCAGACACCCTCAACGGTGCTTGCGTTTACCAAACTTTGTTTCGTCGATCTGGATATGACCGCAATCAGGGGAAGAGCCTAGACGAAAGGGCAAGTTTGTGTTGACGTAGTCAGAGAGCATAAGAACATTGACATCCTCGCTTAATTTTCGAACAGCTGCCAGAGATAACGTGTATTTACCGTGATCTTTGGTGATTGAGACCACGGTTAGTTAAATCCTTTCTCAGTTTATTTCGATACAAAAAAGTGGTTTTTGCTGCTGTTTGATAACTTTTCTCATGACGCCAAAGATATTCCGAAAACTTACCTGCGCAATCTCTTGAGTTTCGGTTTCTAGGCTGGATAAAGATCTTCAAATCACGCCAGAGAAATTCGATGATGCTGGTATGAATCATTCCAGAAAGACGGGGGTTTGATTCCACCTGATCGACCGTCGCAAAACGTTCGCTGTGGTTGACAACTTGATGAGCATAAAAATGCAGACCATTGGCTTGAAAATCGGCTCCAGCAGCAGCATCTTCATTATGGAGACCCTTGTATCTTCCCATTTATCGGAACAAACAACTGAACCAGCCTTACAGTAGCGAAACAAGAGAGGCAATGAGGTAACACCTGACCGATTAGGTACAACAAAAAAAGTCTTCTTCCAGCAACAAAATGAGCACGCAACTCATCAATACGAAGTCGTTTGTCGTTATAACGGAAGTCCAGGAGAGTGTCCTCGGCTACAAGAGCTTCTAACATTCCGAAAAACCAGACTCCTATCAACTGAGTTAATAATCTATTACTTTTAATGCACTACCTTAACTAGAAACGTTCGACGCGTCGACCACAACGATTCTGGTGCTTTCCAAATTTTGATTTATCAATTTAAATATGGTGACATCCAGGATCGGCACCAAGCAATTGCTTATCCCCCATTGCATATCTACAATAATCACTGAGCCTCATCATTTGAATGTCCTTCTGTACTTGTCTGGCAGCGTCAGGAAGGATTCGGATGGACTTGCTGATCTTGCCGATTGAGTTTCCTCTGTTATACTCCATGACTGTGTTCAAGATTTGGTTAGCCTTGGCCTTGCAGTTATATAAGAAAGATTGTAAGGTGACACTTCTCTTGATAACGTCAAAATGACCTCCATTGGGGACTTAAATATCATCCTGAAAATGACTATCACATTCATAATAGAGTGGATCACGATCCTCCCGATAATACACCGTCATGAGTTGAGTAAAACCGTTTAACTCGTATCTCTTTTGCTCCTGGTAATCAAACAACTTGTTGTCACAAGTCATATAGCTACGTTTAAATAAAAATACGATTATTTATCTGAAGTTATCAATATGCTCCTTATTCATACTATCTTCCATGTGACAATGGCTGAAACCGTATAATATGCTTCAAGCTTTCTGTCACCCTCGGTAGGAACACGGGGACCTCATCCAGCAGTAATGTTGGCCATTCTATAAGGTTCGATGATTTCATCCCTGTTTAAAACAAAAGTATCGGCTTCGGAAGGAAAATCAAAATACTGTTTGTCCTCAGTTGTTGGGTAATAATAATCGCTATTTTTACGTGCAGATCTTTAAATGTTACGTGTTAAGCTTGGCATATTAAGCAGAAACTTTACATCGTTTAAGGCGATATAAAGGGTTACACAAAATAGAAATGGACAAAGAATAGAACAAGAAAATATTACAAAATAAACTTACAGGAAAGAAAGGTAAACCTTTGTTTTTTGAGGAAATTAAAATATTCATAGATAATGTTTCAGTTGTCACAAAAAAAAACTTATTACGTTCTCACACAATTTTTTTGTCGATGTCACATACGTCTTTTTACCTTGTCGGAGAAATTCCAATTTGAAAGTCACTGTTCCAATGCGGATTTTCATCACCTATACATTTAACTTCGACCTAAAATTTACCCTACATCAAATGTAGTCTTTTTTAAACAAACTATGGGCATTGTTACAAAATTCTTAAACCTTTTTCTGACATGTTTAAAATACGTTTACTTGGAATATTTATCTTTTGTCCGTTTGTTGAAAGGGTTTTTCCAATTATTGAGTCAAACCAGAACGGTACAAACCTGAAAAATGATATGCATAAAAACCAATCGACTATTCAGCTATGCGTTCATATAAAGTCTTACTACATCTGATCTATCAAATCTTAAATCTTTTATATTTTTGACTGATTATCTGTCTTTCTGCCAAAAAAATGGAAGCTTTATTCATTTTGGCTTCTCCGTAACATTTTATCAACATTTGTATGCGGTTTGTCATTTCTGACTCTTTACCATATATATCTGTCACGTATTTATGTAAGACCTACGTGGTACCCATATGAATACTGACTAATAACTTATTATTTACGTTCTTACTCTCTCAAACTGAATAACACAGAAAATAAAAACAGCATAATCACATTGCAGAGTGTATCATTACTAATTAAAAATCTGCGACAATCATTAAGTGTTCGTCTATATACAGTGTATTTTTGTTATTATAATAAAATTATTGGAATCGTAACTAAGCAATCACAAGACGAGGTAATTTTCCATCCCAAAAGTTACAAAAGTTAGGATTTTCAGCATGGGTCGGGGAACCCTCCACCCAAGAATACGGCCCATGCTATTAAGCATGAAAGTGATAATACTTAATAAACAGAATACCTGTTTTTTAAACTGTGAAATTTTTAAGCATTGATAAAAAAAAATGGGGGCGCAGGAGCCTGGCCCCGCAAGAGGGAACGGGGAATTTTGGGGAAGGGGAAGCCCCTCAACGCAAGAATACAACCCATAGTGCTTAGCATTAAATTGTTACCTTCTGAAAAAACAGTGTGCCTTTTTTTTGGCATAATATTTTAGAGCAAAATTTTGCTTATACTGCTTGATTTCTTTCTTCGGCGTAATACGTTTGAGAAGAGATACAAGATTGAAGCTAGGGATACACCTCCTTCCAAGAATACGACCCATAACATTAAACATAAAACTGAGAAAAGTCCTTATATAAAAACTGATTACTATAGTGAAAATCATAACATAAAAATGACTTTTGCGTATAAAGTGACTAGCTGGCATCTTACTCACTTCGTGAGCGGAGCCAGCGACTGAGACGCACTCAAAGTTAATAAACATAGCCTTTATTCGTAGTATATAAGGTGGTATAAAAAATGATGATTTTGGATAAAATATAAAATTTAATGGGAGTTAGGTGTGGATGAGTAATTCAGGATAAATAACATTTTCGGTAGTGTTTTGTTTATCTGAAAATAATACGGATATTCCGTTTGCTGATGTTGATCTAGTATATCTAATAGAGTGCATCCGGAGTTCAATAGTAAATTTTTTTTTTCAAGCAGGGAGGTACTTTCGAATCAATCCAACCTTTTTTTTTCATTATTAAATTTTTTTTTGCTCACTATTATACGTTTTAAATGATAGTTAAAACAGTTCTACACAATTTTTTTGTGAGAAAAGCAAGCCGAATCCCCATTTTTACAAAGTGATTTTAGGTGGGGGGGCTTCAACTTGTCACATACAGCCAAAATTTGAACAATTTTTTTTATTATAGCCAATAGGATTGCTCCGGATATTTAATTCACCGTTTCTGACATTTAAACTAAAGCATCTGCCGCCAAAAATCTAATTACCGCCAGCAGGCATACTTAAGCTGGCCATGTACTTAGATAATAAAGTCCACAAACAAATTTAGACATGTAATTAATATTCTCTTTGCCCAAAATTAATAAAAAAAATGCCGTTATTCATTTCAGGTTTTTTAAGAAAGGACAAATTGTTTAAACGCAGCGAGCTCTTATCGGATGTTCTTATTGACGGACAAAGGCTTTAGAATGTTCACTAGCATTTTTGTACTGATTATAATTGTTTGAAATTTAAGAATCTCGTAGCTTATTATGTTTTTATGCTGTAATATTAAGCGCGTTATACTAAAGTAAGCAGAAGGCAAATGACCTTTCTTGCAAACATTTATGACACTGATCATCAAATCTAAAACAATTGAATCACAGCGTAACATAATCTGATTAAATATTTATGCTGAAGAAACTCTTCAAAATGTTCCCCGTGATTACGATACTAAGTAGAATCTTTTTAAAATTGATATGTATATTATAAATAATACTTTTAATCTGTTCTTGTCACCGCCAACAAAAAAAAGTACATAAAGGGTGAGAAATATGTCTTTCAAATTTCCATAACTCAAAAGACCAATTGTAACACAGCTCACTCCAATCTGATGGCTGATATAAATAAAAAAAGCATTGAAATGTTCCCCGTGATTTTGATACAAAGTAGAATCTTTTTAAAATTGATATATACATTATAAATAATACTTTTAATCTGTTCTTGTCACCGCCAACAAAAAAAAAGTACATAAAGGGTGAGAAATATGTCTTTCAAATTTCCATAGCTTAAAAGACCAACTGTAACACAGCTCACTCCCATCCGATGGCTGATATAAATAATTTTTTTTTAAAATGCTCCTCGTCATTTTAATACTAAGTAGGATCCTTATTAATTGAAGATGTAGCTTATAATATATGTTTTAAATTTGTATTAGTTAACGCCAGTTGCAAGAAATATCCAAACAAGGTGCAAACTCCCTTTTAAGTGTCAATAACTGTCCCCTCAAATCTTTTATATTTTAAACGCAGCAAAGTTTAGCTGCTGTATGGGAAAAATCTTTGAAGTACTTGCCATCATTTTTGTATTAAGTATATTCTCTTTTAATTAAAAGAGTTTATTTGTAAATATATGAATATGTTATATTAGTCTGCGCCAATTGATAAATTGACTGAAAGATTAGTAATATTATATCAAAGTTCCATACGAAACTCTATAGGAGTTTGAATCATATAATTTTTAAGGTTTGGGATTGAGGGTTTAATTTTTGACGTTTTGCAAAGTTTTTATCATCTATCAAAACAAACAATAACATATCCAATGGCTAAATCAAGAAAAAGAATGAACCAAGGAAAAAAAGTTAGAGCTGCAACGTTAGAGAAAGCTGCAATGCTTGCTGCTGAGGCTGCTGAGGCTGCTGTGAGAGAGTTCAGCGATGTTGAAATTCACCATTCCGAAGATGTTCAAGGGGATGTCGAAGTTATGCCCATCTCGTGGAAAAACGCTAGTGAGACCACTGCTGCGCAGAGATACACGCGTAAAATTGAATACGCACGCGAAACTATCAGTCGAACGAAGTCTGCTTGGAGGAAAGCCGCTGTGGGCAATCGTTCCTTGACCGATTTTTTCAAGTTGACCAAAAAACTTGCACCCATTATGAAGAAGAAAAAGGGGCCATACAAGTCCAGATTCCCTGATGAAGCAACATTGGAAAAAATCCATACAATGTTGCCACTCATTGATCCAAAATTGGTTCTTTGTAATGCATCTACTGGTGAACAACATATGGAAGGTGTCACTCAGTATCTGAAATACAAGATTGTGAAGGAAATGATGGTGCTTCTTTTGGTGGGTGAAGCGTATTCTGATGCAGCAGATCGTGCGGTCAACAACTCCTGGCACGATCCATCAAAATGTTACCGTTTTCGCGTAGCCCGTATTTGGTTGGGGCTTTACTTGGAGACCGGAAGTATCCCTCTCCACCAACAAGGAAAGCATGCGAAGAGGAGATCAATCCTGAGTGATCCTTTTGTGAAAGAGAAATGCGTGGAGTGGATTCGTGGCCAGAAAGCCACATTTAGAAGTATCCCGGCTCTTCGACTTTATTTAAGACAGTACGTCTTACTGGAGGTCTTGGCCATGACGACGGAAGTACAGGTTGATGCAGATGTGATTGTAAATGATGAAGTACATCCTCTGTCAAATGATGCTTTGTCAACTTACCTGAAGTCATGGGGGTTCGAATACAAGACAGGTAAATACAAGATGCAATTAATTAATAGTTACTAATGGCTTAACTTTAATGTTTTTTGTGGTATGTGCATAGGAAAAGATCAATGTTACTTTGATGGACATGAACGGCCGGACGTCATTTCTTATCGTATTAAGTGGGCCCAACAAATGATGGAATGGCACAAACGTATGGAAACCTATACACTCGACGATGCGAATTCGGAACCAGTTCAACCTAACCTGAAGGAAAATGAAAAGAAGATAGTTTTAGTTACTCACGACGAATCAATATTTTATTCAAATGATTGTAAAGTCACTCGTTGGTGTGAGAAGAACGAATCCATGATCATTCCTAAGGGCCAAGGAAGATCTGTTATGGTTAGCTCGTTTATGTGTCCTTGCCATGGAACAATGAGAGGTACCGTCAATGGTATTGAAATAACTTCAAGAGTTATTTTTCTTCCTGGGTAACAGTAACAGCGATGGTTATTGGACGAACATTGATTTAACTAATCAATTAAAAGATGTAATTCCTCTTTTTAATGAATTACATCCTGATTGTATTGGTATCTTTGCCTTTGACCAGAGCTCTAACCACAAAGCCATGGCTGATGATGCTCTTGTTGCCTCAAGGATGAGTTCCTGTGTCACCGTGTATAAAGATACAAATAAGTATAGGTTTCGAGTTACCACTTTTACCGATAAGGAAGGTCGAGTGAAGGCCCAGCCCATGTACCGGACCGAGACGGTGAATATGGAAGCCGTGAAGAATGTTGTTGCTACGAGAAGGGCAAAGCAGCAACCAGTGTCCTTTGAAGACCTCCTGAATCAATACAGGCTTCCAAGAGTAAATATTTGAACTTAATACATGACATGAAAATCTAAATTTCAATGATTTCATTATATTTTGTAGGCACGTGAGGTCTTCAGAGGCACGCTCATTTTGTTGAGGGAGCGCGGCTTGTTGGACAAGAATGCTTCGCTGCGCAAGGTATGCCCTTCCGGTACAGTGCATGATACTGCTGTTCGACCTGGCTGCTGTGCGGAGTACTTGCTTTCTCAGCAACCTGATTTTTTGGCGCGGAAGAATATGTTGGAGACTGTGATGTTCGAGGCTGGTCACCTCTTTACATTATACCCAAAGTATCACTGTGAGACTAACTGGATTGAAAGACATTGGGGTACAGCCAAAAGATATTCACGAATGATGTGTGATTACTCCTTTCATACTCTGACGTCTAGAATCCATGAGTTTCTGGACAATGATGAGGTTGTGCACGGTCCTAAAATTAATAGACGGTATTATAACCGTGCCTATAGATATATCGACGCGTATAGCAAGGGTAAAGATGTCATGGAGGCTGATGAGATTATCAGAAAGTTTTCCAAAGAATATCGATCACACCGACGTGCTGTTTAGTTTCTCCTTCATGGCTTTCATTCCATTAAAAAAAAACCAAAAAAAAATAAATCCTTAGACTCCCCCCCAAAAAATAAATAAATATCCTGAAATTTTTTTTAAAAAAAAAAAATCCTTCCCCCACATTAAGATCTGGCTATGAATCTATTTCCTTTTATATTGTTTGTACGAGTCGGAGGTGAATCCTTCAAAATGTCACAAAATTGATTTTGCTATTGAACTCCGGATGCACTCTAAATATTTTTTATACGCAATTAGTGTTCGGAATGAAGATGGAATCTCTCGAGAGAGCTTCGATCGTGTTCCAGTCGAAGCTCGCTCGGATGCGATTTTTTGCAGCTCGAGC